ACTACTACACTTCCATGAGAAAAGCAATTTTGATAATGTCTACTGCTTTGTAAAAGAGCTATTAACTAAAGTAACAGACACTATGCACTAAGTAGTTTGTTGTTTTGTAGCTTTATGTCTGCAATGACATTCTCTGTCCAAGTTATTCCCGCTCTGAAAGCTCAGTCCTTTAGCAGCCAACAGAAAATAACCACGCCCTGTTCTGCCCATATTCACTATGAAAGATCCGCCTAATATCAGGGGAAAAAATTATTTGGCATTGGTAGGAGTAGAAACCGTGAGCAATTTAAATTACAATTGAAATATGATTTGCAAGAACAACTGCCATTTAAAGTGTTTAATAGATAGGGTATCTATAAATTACACTTAAGAGTGATTTTTTTTTTGCTCTGTTAAAACTTTGAAGTTCTGTCTTTGTTACAAATATAACTGTACTTGAATTAAAAAGTAAAAAGCTATTTTCTAAACATAAAGCTGAACAAAGAGACAACAATGCAAGACAACACAATAACAAAGAAGGAAACAAATTTCAGCTAAAGAAAACCCAAAGTAATTAAAAATAAAATCCTTGCAAAGAAAATATTGTATTGTTATGCAATGCCAACTTAGACATCTGCTTGCAAACTATTTAAGTTGGAAAGAAAAGTAAATAAAAACAAAATGTTTGTCCTTTGTATATAAAAGCGTGGATAAAATATTTAAAAAGTGGCCTAAATAACAATAATTTTTCAAATTTAACTTAAGTGAATTGCAATGTAAAATAAATGCATACAGAAAACTTGAAGCAGTACTAAGTGAAAAACCCTACATACTAAAAGATGGCATACTGTCCTTCAGCGTTTAAAAGCAATGCATTTATTTCGTTTAATGCAGCATAAATTAAAGCATTTGCCAAGCACACTCACATTAACAAAGATGCTTACAGTATAATCCCACTTGAAATAATTGTCATTTACACTGATAGCACTGTTAGCAGCTACCTACAAAATCTTAGTCATCAGGTAATTTAATAAGCAAGGGGCAGGACAGCAGCTTAAGACACATATTTAAGCAAAACTTCTTGTTTTCACACTGCATCAAAAGCTATATTTGTTCTGCCTCCTCCCCTCCACAGAGACTAGTTACAGCTATATTGTGCCAGGATTGCTTCTTCCTTCAACCTTGCTCTGCCCTTTTGATATTTACATTTTTATTAATTCATTTTCCAGTAATATTTAAATGCAAGCAGCCAGTGCAAATTAAATAAAAAAGCCTTTTGTATAAAAAGATTCTGCATGCAAACAAGCAAATAATGCAGTAACCTTTTACTCGCCTGCTGGAGGTACTGTCTGCTGCATAGAATTTTAAATCCTCATCTGCAGATGCAACTGAGCTGGTATTGCCAAGGACTTTTGCTCTTCCTGTGCTGATTCTACACAGCTATTCATCAGAGAAAAACATTACAGAGAAAATGTAAAGTAATATTAAGTGGAAACACTCAAGATGACATGGAACAGGTCAACTTTGAAAAAGTCAACTGCATCTTGTGTAGTCACGTTAGTGAGCCAATAAAGTATTATTGCTTATGCAGGTTTGTACTGATACGTAGCACATGAAATCACGGCAAGCTAATAAAAAACATAAGCAGAATTAAAGTCCATTGATCATCCTTGGCTGATAATTTAAAAAGTGTCTTTTCTAAGGGAAAATTTCGTGACTGTTTTCCAGTCGCCTTTTTCATGAATGTCCAGACTGTGCATAATTCTAACAAATACGATTAAAGCTATCCCGTGCAATTTCAAAATACTTTTTTTTAACTTGGGTCTTAGCTTGCAAACAACCACTACTACCATAGAATTTATTTACAAAAAAACAACAAAAACATATACCTGATATCATGGTTTAAATGAAAATATAAGGATCAGTTTGTACTGGGCCAGCGAAGGCTAAGTAAGTTTTGGGTTTTTAGGTTTTGGAAGATTGTAAAAATGTAGCTGTTGCTTTGAACACAGATACTGAATTGAGATTAAAATAATCCACTTAACAAAGCTGCTTCATCAACTTCTTTATTTGTAATTTTTCCTCAAGAAAATCAGGCTTTAATGTGTGTGACATCCAATGCCATTTTAACGGCATCTACTTGTCTAGTTAAAAGAGAAACGGCTTCTAATCTATACTATATATAATTCAAGATTACTAGTTATAATAATTTTGGGCTATACTGAATATAAAACATATAGCTATTCAATGAAATTTACATTTCCCCAAACAGGAATGAAAGATTAGCAATTAAGGTTGTTATTCATTATTTATGTGCTTTCCCTCTCACCTCATGTCAGTCTCCTTAATGTACTATTGATTCTCAAGATGCATAAAGATGGAGCCAGTGACAGGCCACACATAGGAAACCTTCCAAAAAATAAAGCGAAGTGATGGCTTAAATGGATATCCTCACAAATAATTTGAAAGGCATAAAATCTGAGTGACAAACATACAAATAACACTGTTTTGAAGCAAATACTAAACATGAACCAGTTTTTTCCTAAAGCAATTAGATCATTAATATCACTAAATAAAACTTTTAAACATGACTTGTTGAACAAGAAACAATGTGCTACTTTAATGCTGAACCATAGTCAGTAAATTCACACATCATATTAAACCAAAATAACAACTCATTCTAGTTTAGCACAATGTATGAACCAAGCCATTAACTGCATAATGAATTTACTTCAATATTTAAAACAATTCTTTTAAGACAAAAAAGCCTTATATTTATAGTTATTATTACATCCGCTTATGCATTCATATCATTTAATATTAAGATTTCATTATCACAAATGTGAGTAATTTCATAACTTTAAATTTATGAGATATGTGTGATAACCATTTTGGATGTAAATATATTATGAATACTGAAACATGATTCAACCAAACTTCATGACATCAGCTACAAATCATCATCATCCTAACTGTGACAAAAAATTTTTTAGAAAAAGTACAGGTAGTTCTCCACTTACAACAGTTCATTTAGTGAATGTTCAAAGTTACAACAGCACTGAAAAAAGTAACTTATGACCTTTTTCACACGACCATTGCAGCATCCCCATGGTCACATGATCAAAATTGAAGTCCTTGGCAAATGACTCATATTTATGATGGTTGCAGTGTCCCGGGGTCCTGTGATCACATCTTGTAACTTTCTGATAAGCAAAGTCAATGGGGAATTCACTTAACTGTCTCACTAACTTAACAACTACTGTGATTCACTGAACAACTGTGACAAGAAAGGCTGTAAAGTGGATCAAAACTCTCACTAACAAATGTCTCACTTAGCAACAGAAACTTTGGGCTCAATTGTTTTGAAAACAAGAACAATCAATGCACTTTCTATCCCACGCTACTGCTTGAACGCTGATTGTAAAGAATTAGGTTGCCAAAAACCTTCTCAACAACCTTCCAGACACAAAAGATTGGACACAATGCAAGAGTTGACCAGTAGAGTTAAATCTTTAGAGGAGACGCATTAATACCTTCTTCAAAGACATCAGCATTTACCCCTCTCAGAGCAAGTCATTCACTACAGACCAAATTCAGCCTATTGCCCTTAAATACAAGTCAGGTAACTCCCCACCTGCCAATCAGGGTAATCTCTTTCCACTTTAGGTGTTCTTCATATTCAGAATCCTCTCCTTCTCATCTCTCCACTCACTTCCCCATCATCCATCCAATCTTCCACCCCAGTCTCCTATTTCTCCCATACTTTCAACAAGATTTTCTCTCTTTTTCTTTTTTCATTCTAGCACTATTCTCTAATTTAATCCTTCAGCCTAGGTTGCTGTACTTTCTTCTCTCGTATTTGTATAATTCCAACTTCTAATACAGTCTTTTAATCTGGTCACTCCCATTCTCACCTTCAACATAGTCCTTCAATTTAATTTGCTCCAATTGAGCCCTCCAGCATAGGCCTTCTCTCTTATTTTCTCCACTGTTGCCCAGAGATGATATTCAACCAGTTCGCAATGGTTCAGGAGAATTGGTGGCAGTGATTTGGTGAGCGTTGCCTAAACAGTGAAGACCCCTGGCCGGCCACGCCCCCAACCCGGTCTCCCGGTCGCTCACTTGCCCTGGTCGCACTCCTAGCTTCCGCTATGTGGCAGCCACGGTGCAGCTCGGGTGGGTGTCCTGCGGCTGCTGCACATGCACACTGCGTGTTTAGCTGCTACACATGCAGTGCACATGTGCAGCAGTCCCAGGACATCCGCCTTCCTGCCCGCCCTCCCAGAGCACTTCTCCCGGCAGACACACCTCTTCTAGCCCGGCCCAGCCAGCCAGCAGGTGGCCACATGTCCAGCCGCCCCTTTTTCAGTGCAAGAAGCCTCCCCCAACTGGCTGACTGTTCTCCTTCTTCTCTGTTAGTTCTGTATGGCTGAGGAGGAGGAGGGAGGCCAGTTGGGGGAGGCTTCTTGATGAGAGGCCCCTTTTTCAGTGCAAGAAAACTGGCCGGCTGCTCTCCTCCTCCTTAGCCATACAGAACAAACAGGCAGAGAAGGAGGAGAGCAGCCGGCCAGTTGCACTGAAAAAGGGGCGGCTGGAGGAGACCCTTTTTCCATCTCTAGCCACTTCTTTCAGAGTGCTGCATCACTCCGCTCGGACTTGCTTGGGCAAGTCCCTCTGGTGCAGCAGGCTCAATGGGTGGACCTGCGTGGTTGGCGCATAGAACGCGGCTGTGACAGCACATTGGAGAAGCGGAGCAAAGCTGGAGGTCAGTACAGCCACGTCTTTTTTTTTGGTGCGACTTTTTTTGGAGTCCAGCTGCACAGAAAAAAACATGCAGCGGCTACAGGTATCTCGTGACAAGGGCGAGATGTGCGCTGGCAGGGAGCCCAGCGACCACAATGGCTCGGCCCTGGCTTGCCTTCCCTGGCAGCCAGCCACGGGAGGAAGGTAAGGTTTCAGGCAGTCGGGAAAGCCAAACCCAAGCTGCCTAGCTCAGAGCTGCCAGCAGTGGGAGGGCCGAGGCTGTAGCACACATATTGCTTGAATTTCCCAGCCCCAAAAGTGGGAGGAGAGGAAGTCCCACCCGTGGCCCCTTTGTTGGACCCAGAAGTCTTGCCTGCCAGCTTTTTCGGGCAACATGGGACCAGAGTCTGGCCGAGAAGAACCCTTGTATTGAGCAATGCTACCAGGTGCTTGGAAGTGGGTGTGTGTTTGTTTCAGGTGGGCGTGTGGAAGCCTGTGTGTGTGTGTGTGTGTGTGTGTGTGTGTGTGTGTGTGTGTTTCAGGTGGGTCTCCTCTCCTAGCTTTAGAAGGAGAGAGGGAAGGGGAAAGGGAAGGGATAGAAAGAGAGAGAAAGAGGGAAACAGAGGGAAACAGAGAAAGAGAGACAGTGAAAGAGAGAGGGAAAGAGAGAGAGAGGGAGAGAGGGAAAAAGAAAGAGACAGAAAAAGAGAGAGAAGAAAGAAAAAGGGAAAGAATAAGAATAAGAAAGAAAGAAAGAAAGAAAGAAAGAAAGAAAGAAAGAAAGAAAG